CCCCAACCCTCGGCTGCACATGCCAATGAACAGAAATAACCAGGACATAGATCTTAGGAACAGTCTGAACCTGGCCAGCTCTGAGAACTACAGGCGCCCAGGTTTCACAGTGACATCTCCAGACTGTAGTCCTCTCTCCACCTACACTGGTTCAGGGGAGGATTCCAAAGGCTAACCAGCCTTCCCAAGCATTGGGCAAAATGGCATGCTCTTCCCCAACCTAAAGACAGTCCAGCCAGTACTCCCTTTCTACCACAATCAGGCCACTCCTGCTGAGCTGGCAAACACACCCAGGATGCTGCCTTCTCTCCCTTTACTGTCATCTTCAATCCCAGAACAGCTGGTTTCAAATGAAATGCCATCTGATACCCTTCCTAAGAAAAAGTCCCGGAAGTCCCACATGCCTATCAAAATAGAGAAGAAAACTGGAAATAGCTAATGAGAAGAGGCAGATCCTCAGCTCAGATGAAGACACGCCCCTGCAAGTGGTCAGTGAAGATTAACTGGAGGCTTGCAGTCCTCAGTCAGACAGAGCATCTAAGGAGCAGCACATATAATCTGGAAGCTTAGGGATCCCTCTCCCAGGAGGACAGAGGCCCTGCCATCTTGAATCAATATTGGAGTCCGGTGGCACCATCAGCCAAATCCCTGAGCAGACCGCACACGACCCAGTAGGGACACTGAGCAGAAACCAGCTTTGACCATGGCATCAAGGGACGTGGAGGATGGTGGCCGTGAGCATCACTTCACACCTGGAGTGGAGCCCCAAGTTCCTTTTCCTGACTATGTGGAACTACAGCAGCGCTTGCTGGCTGGGGGACTCTTCGGTGCTTTGTCCCACAGGGCAATGGCTTTTTCTAGTCTCAAAGAGTCTAAAGGACTGGGGCACATAGGTCAGCAGGCATTAGCAAAGCAGAAGGAAGAGAATCGCTTCCAGTGTGACATCTGCCATAAGACCTTTAAAAATGCTTGCATTGTGAAAATGCACCACAAGAAGATACGCACCAAAGAAATGCACACATGCGTAGTCGACAGCTGTAAAGCCATCTTAACTTCCTGCAGGAGCAGAGACAGACACAGTTCATACCTAAGCCTCTACCAAAAAGCACTGAGCCAAGGAGCACTGGAGGGCAGTGAAGACCATTTCTGTACAGCCTACCTGCTGAAAGATGTGGCAAAGGAGGCGTATCAGGATGTGGCTTTCATCCAGCAAGCCTCCCAGACATCTGTCATCTTCAAGGGACCAAGTCAAATGGGAAGTCTGGTTTACCCAATAACCCAGGTTCACAGTGCTAGCCTGGAGAGCCACAATTCTGGCCTTCCCAGTGAGGGCACCATCCTGAATCTGAGCACTACCTTGAGCATGAAGTCCGAGAGCAGCAACAATTTTTCTTGGGAGTCTGATGGGGTAGCAAAAAAGGGACTGTGCTAATGGAGGACAGCAATGGAAACTGTGAGGGGCCAGGCCTTGTCCCAGGGAAAAATGAGTACCCTATCTGCATTCTGATGGAGAAGACTGACCAGAACCTTGCCAGCCTGCCTTCTGGGTTGCCTATAACCTGTCCCTCTGCCAAAAGACATACCGTAACAAAGGGACTTTTAGGGCCCACTACAAGATGGTGCACCTTCGTCAACTCCACAAATGCAAAGTACCAGGCTGCAATACCGTGTTTTCATCTGTTTACAGCTGAAAAACACACAGCCAGACTCCCAACCAGCACAACAGCCTGGCCACATCTCCAAGTCATCTCCAGAAACACAACAGCAGACCAGATATGCTCTGATTTGCCACAGTTCAGGAATTAGGTAGTCCAAAGACACGTTTCTGTTTGATACCATTTGCGCAGCAAGCCAAGCAAAAAGTGTTTGATTTGACTTCTCAGTTTTCTACAAGCAGGATGAGCAAAAAACGAACCTTCCAGGAAATTAACACTGGGGCAGCCTTTCCTATTATTAGTTTTCTTAGCCCAAGAGGTTTTTCACTGACATAAGGAAAACTTGCAGAAATGCAAGTTTTTTTCCAGATTTGTTTACACGTTCCCTGGGAGAGCTCCAGGTCTGCAGATGGACAAATGGAGCCCAGGACCCAGAGGCAGCTTCCAGTGAAGCTTGCAGTGTTAAGAGTCTTGGCGAAGAAGACGGTCACCATGGGCAAGATGCCAGTCCCAAAGATCACATTTTCAGTTCCTTCTCTAATGAGTCTGAAATCCAGACTTGAGTTTGAGAAAATGACTTTTCAAGACCATCACTCCATGGGAGTGGAGAATTGCTTCCCTCCCTCCCCTAAAGGTCTCATATGTTACCCCAAGGACTTCTCAGAGGAAGTGGGTTGGCCTCCAACATGCTCCTTGTTCATTCTGTAACACACAGTCAAAAAGCGAGGGGAAATATTTCATGCACTTAAAAATAGTAGTCTTCAATTTAATTTAAAGTGATTTTGATAATATTTACTTTGTGTTTGTTATATGAGTGTTTGGTATGAGTGCAGACATGTCATACTGTCACCTCTGGATCTCTACTTGGAAGCAGAACAAACGACAATCTAAACTTCAAAACCACTGCCCATTTTCATTTAGTGGACATTGGAGTTTGATCATTTCAACCCCGGTGAAATGAATGTAAGCATGATTCTGGCAGGATCATTCGTATATATTCCACTAAAGTGTTTAGAGAACATGGTTCTGATGGTTGTATATTTTCAATGTCACTGGATCCCTCAGTCTTCAGCCTTTTATAAATGTGTAAGATTAGAATGAACTTTGGAATTTACTTGGTAGAAGGAAAGTAGGGCGTTATTGCTGTACTATATGTCTTAATAGTTAACTTATTTTGAAATACATTTCACACTGCTATACCCATTTGACATTGAGGAAAAGAGGCTTAATCAGCCTTAGGGAATGAGACCACTTCCTGAAGTTTGACATTTACAGTATTCTAAATGCCTGTATAAGTTAAAAAAAAATGATTTTTGTGTTCAGAGTTCAGGTTCACTGTCTTTTAAACTCATGGTTGATTCAAGGGTTATAGAGAGATACTGTTTCTCTGGCCTAAAAGCGAAAAAAAACAACGACCTGTTACAGATTATTTCAACCTTTAAAAAAATAAATATGACTATATAAAACGTGTATCTGCCTAAAGCAAGATGTATCTTTCAACTATTTAGTTACTCAGCTGTTTAATTTTCCAATTTCTCCAAAGGAAAAGCAAATTGTATGCAAATGTTTTCTATGATTTAATAAAAATATATGGCGCAAAAAATATAAAATGCCATCAGATAATCATAAATTAGGTGCCGGAAGCCATGCTCCAGCCAGGGTGGGTACACAGGAAGACGACACGGGTGAACAGGAATCAGACTGAGACCTCATGCCCTTTAGCATGTTCTCACCCGGCTACAGCCAGAGTAAGCTCCAGACTGCAGCCCTGATGGCCAGGAGTCATGCGTATTTATTATGGAAGGAGTTTTATAGGAGTACAATGGGTGAGGGGAAGTAAGTGAAAGATTTTACTACAAAAGGTAAAGCATTCAAAGTATAGGAACAATAATCATAAAACATGACATCTGTTTTGTTTAGGTATGAACAGTCATAATTCTTAGAACGAGGAAGTCCATTTGTCTTGTACATTCTCTCCTTAGATTTTGATTACTGGGAAGGGTCTTTTGGATGAGAGGGCTCCCAGGAATCTTAATAACCTCAGTCCCAGACCAGCTTGATAAATTTAGTCCCAGATCGGCTTGAGAATTTGAGCCCCAGGTCAGCTTGAGAACTTCAGCCTCAGGCTAGGGTGGCAGCAAATTGCTGGCTACAAGGACCTAAAAATAAATCCTGTCTGGTTTAGTAAAGACAAGGTTAGTATATACTAAAGTGGAATGCCTATGTTATCTCTGGGGTAATCCACAGCTAAGAGGGTGAGTCTAATGTCTACATGGGAAAAAAGTGTGGTCTTATGAGCAGCTTAATGACTGAGGTTACTGTGTACTTGGGACCCACTATGTGCTGCTCTATACAATGGCTGTGGCTTGGGGAATGGCAATCTTCCCTTGTCCTGAGATTAAAGGTGACTCATGGTCTTTGGGGTAACAGCACCTCATGGATGAGTCCCTGAGCCCCTCCCAGCTACTGAGATTGTTTTGCCAATTAGTAGCTTTAACCTAAACCTTTCTAATGCTTATCTATCTAATCCCCAGTAGGAGAAGTGAATGTAGCATTCTTTATTGACATTTTCTAGGAGGGTGGGTGAATCTAATGGGAGTAATTCCCATTCATAGCTGCTGCCTTAGTAGATCCGCATTCCTTCAGAATTGTAAAAGTTATAGTAAGGCTGGGGGTGCCTTTATGGGGTACTGGGGTACGGCAATAAGGCCCATGGCAGAGAAATTGAGTGCAGGCCAGTCCAGCAACAGAGTGGAGATACAGAACTCATAACTGTCGACCTTGCTAACAGTTCTCCTCAGCCGAGTCCTTGCTCTTAGGCATGAGCGGCAGTTCTTTCATACTCAGCTTGTGTTAACTGCATGGTCCCAGCAATTAGGGTCACAAAGTTTGTTAGTTCAAGGTGTCCAAGGTGTCTCCAAGGCTTCCCTTCCCTCAAGATTGTTCCTTTTACAGTACCCTTTTGTCATTTAATTCCTCTACCATACTCTGCCCTCTCCCCATGAACATTTTCTCAGTTCTCATGTGGATAATTTAATTAGAATGACTCATCAGTCCATTCTATAAGGTAAGAGAGAGAAGTATTAACAATAATTTAGGTCACTCCTGACTGTACAGCTAAGAAGGTCCAGCTGTTGGAAGGTAAGTTCAAGTTCTCATTGCATTAAATTGCTAATATGGCAGTTAAAACACTTTTGTCCTGATGCCAAAGTCCAGTAACTTTAGTACTTATCCCTGAAATCATTGTCTAAGGAAAAGTCATTATGCAAATAAAAAGTACTGATTCTATGTAACATATTAACAGCATATGAAAACAATTGTGTAAGACCTCATTCATTTTTACGACTTTCTCTACTTCTAGTGCCTCATTGCACAGTACTGTGATCTGACACTGTAAGGCCTAGAATAACGGTAATGTTATGAAAATACTTATTTTTTAATTTGACTGCTGCTAAACTTTGTTTAAAATCTAGTCTCTCAAAAATGGATGAGCAGAATATCTTCAGAAGGGAATTAGTGGATGTTCAAGGTGTCCCTGTCTTCTGGGGCATGGCTGAAGAGTGGTCTCAGGTGGAAACTTTTGAGGCACGGCCAGATGACCTGTTAATAGCCACCTATCCCAAATCTGGTAAGTTCTTTACATTTATTTTTACTTAATGACTTGGTCATGATCCAAATGTTTGAACCTACACATCTGTAGATGACTAATCAGGTCTAACCTGAGATCATTAAACATTTGTTGGGAGAGTTTTATCTTAAATCAGAAAAATTCTGCTGCTGTTGTGAAAAACTAAGAAAAATAAAAAGGAAGATATGTCTGAGGAAAAAAATGCCGCTGTCTTATTTTTCCTTTTTAAAATTCAAATAATTATTATTAAAACATCATATATATGTGATTCAGCAATATTAGGATATATATGTGTAATCTAGAATATATATTAGTCTTTATATATTTACTTTCCTTTCTATAATAATTTTATTGGAATTTTTAATTTGTCTATAATGGTTGTATATTTTCATAAAGTACAGTATTTTTTTTTTTTTATTTTTGAGCGATCTTTGCTATAGGGCATGTGCGTTCATCAGAGAGACAGAAAAAGACAGAGAGACAGAAAGTGAGAAATCAACCCCTGGCCAAGGAGCGATGGCCACAACACAGTCCCTTCTCCATTTTTCTCCAAGGATCTTGGTCACACACACACACACATGCCAGGCGTGAGTTTTAAGCTGCCAGGTTTGGGACTCAACCGCAGTCAACTACATGGGGGTCCAGTGACATAACCATTATGCCATCTGCAGGTGTAGTTTTTTTAAAGCCCATACATAATGTATAATAAACCAGTCAAGAAAATAAACATTAATCATTTCCACTTATCACTATTCACTATTTCACACATTTGAAATTGATTATACTGATTATTTGGAGATAAATATTAAATTGCCACTAACTTTCCTTATTTTACTGTATATAATAATCTATATCCCATTCCACTTGTTAACGTATACTCATATCTGCTAAGTAAGTTCTCCCCATCCATTCCCCCCTCTTTCTTTTGTAGCTTCTGGTATTCACTATTATACTTGCTATTTCTATTCAATCAAGATTTTTAGCTTCTACTAATGAGTAAGGATATATGATAAATATTTGTCAAATAGGGACACTTGACAAAGAGTCAAAGAGTCTGGCTTATTTCACTTCTCAGGTTCATGCATTTTGTTTCTAATGACATAAATTCATCCTTTTATTTAAAATTGATGAATAATAGTCTATTGTGTATTTGTATCACATTTTTTATTCATTCAGCACTTGTTGGACACTAGATTGGTTTTCATATCTCAGCTATTGTGACTAGTGCTGAAATGAACCAGGAAGTGTGAATATCTCTTGCATATACTGATTTTCTACTCTTCGGATACATGCCCTGTAGAGGAATTACTAGATAGCAAGGCAGTTCAATTTTCAGTGGGTCTTGTTTGTTCGTTTGTTTCTTTGTGGGTTTTTTTTTTTTTTTTTTTTTTTTTTTTGGAGAGGTTTTAGCTATAGGGCTAGTGTGCTCTCTGGAAAGAGAGAAACAGAGAGACAGAAAGCAAGAAATCACACTCTACCAGGGGGATGGCTACACTGCAAACCCTTCTCCTCCATTCTCCTCTAAGGATCTTGGGCACACACACACATGCACCAGGCATGAGTTTAAGCCACCGGGTCCAGGACTCAAACTGTGGTCTACTACATGGGCGTACAAAGACATAACCATTACACCAACTGCTGGTCTCCACTTTTCAGTTTCATGAGGAACTTCCATGTTATTTTTCATACTGGCTATACTACACTGTTTCCACAACAGTGTAAAAGAATGCACCTTTTGTCTGCATATTTGCCAGCATTTGTCAATTTTTTGTATTTTGATATTAGCCATTCTCACTGGAGTGAGATAATAGCTCTTTAGAGTTTTGATTTGTGTTTCTTTTCTTTTTGGTAATGTTGGACATTTTAAAATATGTTTTCCTTTTTGGTCATTTGTATGCTTATCTTTGAGAATTACCTTTTAGATGAATTATCCAGTTTTTAATCAATTTATTTCTGCTGAGGGATTATTCAAATTTCTTACATGTGCTGGTTATTGATCACTTGTCAGGTATATGGCTTGGAAATATTTTCTCCTATTTTGCAGTTTGTCTCTTGACTCTGTTGATTATTTTCTTTGCTGTGCAGAAGCTTTTTAGTTCAATGTAATCCCATTTCTCTGGGATTACAAAAATCATAGAATTACTAGAGAACATAAGAAAAAGCCTTTAGGACATTGGTCTAGTCAAAGTTGTTTTAAAGTAAAACAACAGGCAATAATTTTTGATTTTGCATTTAAGTCTTTAATTCATTTTGAGTTAACTTTCTGTTTATGGTCAACGATAGGACTCTAGTTTCATTCTTCTACATATGGATATCCAATTTTCCCAGCACCCTTTATTGAAGATTATATTGGTAACTATCAAAAATCTGAAATATATATATATATAATTTTTTTTGTCTCCAATCCATTGAATGGTGCCCTCCCGTTAGACCCCAACTCTTTTTTTTTTTTTTTTTTTTTTTTTTTTTAAGGTTTTACCCCTAGGGCAACCCTTCTCTTTGGGGTTTTTTTTTTTTTTTTTTTTTTTTTCATAAGGATTTAGCCATAGGGCACACATGCTCATTGGAGAGAGACAGAGAGAGAGAATGAATGAAATCACCCACCCCTGGTGGAGATGGCCATACTGCCTTCTCCTGCATTCTCCTCTGAGGATTATGGGCAGTTAAGCACATGTGCCTGGAGTAATTTTTAAGCTGCCAGGTCTGGGACTTGAACTGTGGTCAACCATCTGGGAGTACAACACATCAACCATCACATCACCTGTTGGTTCCTAGACCCCACCTCTTAAAACTCGTGCCAGTTTCCAAAGCCATTATACTAGGATTCAAACTTGTAGAACTTGAATTGTGAGGGAAAAATTATTATCCTAACCATAGCACTTTCTATACATTTGAATTTCTAAATATTTTGTTCATAAATTTAAGCAACTGATGACCTTATTATTAATTTCAGAAAGAAGAATATAAAATGAGTCAATAAAAATTAATGTATTTAAAATTTGTTTATTTTTTACATTCAATCATAGTGTATCATTACAGCATACTAAATGTGTTTCCCACCCTGAATACACTGTGGGAGTCTAGCGACATAGCCATTACGCTAACTGCTGGTTCCCTCATTTCTTTTTTAATGTCTGAATATTTCATAGTGTACATGTGCCTCACTTTTTCAATCCATCCATCTATTAATGGATAGATTTGGGTTGGTTTCATGTCTTAGGAATTGTGAATAATGCCACAATAAATATGGATGGACAAGTGTTTTTCCAACAGAGAGCATTCCTATTTTCGGGTAGATACCCAAGACTGGAATTGCTGGATCATATTATAGTTCTATCTGTAAGTCTTTGCAGAATCTCCATATTGTTCCCACATTAACTGTACTAATTTACATTCCCACCAAGAATGTAGAAGTATTCCCTTTTTCTACAGCCTTGCCAGCACATATCATTCTTTATTTTTAAATCTTAACCATTCTGATAGGAGTTAGGTGGTATCTATTGTGGTTTTGATTCGCATCTTCCTTAGAATAAGTGATGTTGAACATTTTTCACATGCTTTTTTGGCTGTTCATATGTCTTCCTTAGAGAGTGGTCTGTTCAGCTCATTTGCACATCTTTTTATAGGGCTGATTTCTTTTGCAGGTAAACTGGTTGAGTTCTCTGTATATTCTGGTTATCAGTCCCTTATCTGTGGCATAGTTTGCAAACATATCTTTCTAATCTGAAGGCTGTTGATTCACTCTAATTGTTGTTTGTTTTGCTGAGCAGAAGCTTTTCAACCTGATGTAATCTCACTTGTCTATTTTTGGGATTATAGTCATTGTTTTGAGGGATTTATTTAAGAAGTCTTTCTGGATCCAGCAGGTGGCATAGTGATTAAAGTGCTAGACTCCCATGTGATTGATTGCAGTTTGGTCCCAGGCCCAGTGACTTGAAATTCACACCTGGGCACAAGCGTGTACATGCCCAAAATCCTGAGAGGAGAATTAAGGAGAAGGGATTATGGCATGGCCATCCCCATAGGGGTATGATTTTTTGCTTTCTGTCTATCTCTCTTTGTCTCTCTGGTAAGTGCATGTGTCCTGTATTGTAAAGTGAAATGTCCCTTAAAAAAAAAAAAAAAAAAAAAAAAAAAAAAAAAAAAAAAAATCTCTTAAAAAAAAAAAGAAAAAAAATCTTTGCCTCTTCTGATGTCTCCAAGAGTTTCCCCTGTGTTTTGCAACAGTGGTTTTATACTGTAAGGTCTTAGGTTTAGATCTTTGATCCATTTTGAGTTAATTTGTGTAAGTGGTGAGAAATAGAGGTCCAGTTTTATCTTTCTGTAGGTGAATACCCAGTTTTTCCAGCACCATTTGTTGAAGAGATTTTCTTTTTTCCATTGGATTGTCTTGTGCCCTTTGTCAAAAATCAGTTGGCTATTTGTTTGGGGGCTTATTTGGTGGTTTCTATTCTGTAGCAATTTTTATTTCATCAGGTCTGCTTATAACTTCTGTTTTACTCTGATAGATATAGATGAAAGTAGTAGTGATAAGACTCTGCATGAGAATCAAAGGCTCCTACTAGGAAGTAAACAAGGGCTCCTACTAGAAAGTACACAAATGCTGAATATGGACCTTTGTAGGTAGAAAAACAAGCTTGTTTGCAAAGTATCTTTCTTTTCTTATTACTTTACTGCCTTCTCTCACCAAACTAAAATTGATTAAGACCAAAACTATTATGCATTTCCTTGTTTGAGCTGTGTTTAGAGAAGGAAATGCTGTCACTGAGAATGTACAAGCTCTTTTTTTTTTTTTTTCAGTTTTTTAATATACAGTTGTCTCCTCTTATCCAGATGATGTTCCAAGATACCTAGGGGATGCCTGAAAATGTAGATGGTACCTAATACACACACACACACACACACACACACACACCACACACAGCCAGCATCCATAACTGTGGATTCTTCATCTGTGAATTCATCTCACCACAGATCAATATGTGACGTTGTAATTAAAGTGTGCTATGTTACTGAACACATGCAGACTGTTCCTTGTCATTGTCATCCCTACACAATACTGAGTAACAACTATTTATGTAGCATTTTCATTTTATTGGATATTATACCTAAGATTAAAGTTTATGGAAAGATATATGTGAGTTATATGCAAATATGCTATTCAGTATAAGGGACTTGATTGTCTTTGGATTTTGATATGCTCAGGGAGTCCTAAAACCCATCCCTGAAGACCCAGAGACTATTCAACAACAGGAAATTATAAAAATAGTGTTTTGCCATTATCTTTTTCTTTTAATTGGCAGAAGTCACGTGCACTCACCAGACAGAGAGAGAGATGAAGAGACAGAGAGAGAGAAGGAGGAAGGAAGAAAGCCCCTCCCTCCTCAATGGGGCATGGTCATGCTGCAATCCCTTCTCCTTCATTTATGCGTCCTGCCAGGATTTGGGGCATGCATACACACACGTACAACATGTTTTTCATGTAGCCTGGGTCATGATTTAAAACGGGGTGACCATATGGGATCCAGCTCCCTTAACCACTAGCCTGTGGGCCAGTCTTGGAAGGTATCATTATACTAATAGTTCATCTACAAATATACTCTTGGAGGTTGAATATTTCCTTCATAGTAAAATCTAGATGGCTACACATGCTTAATCACATGATCTTTGGTAGGGTTCCCTCTTTCCTTTATAAACTATCAAGAACTTGTCTTAAAGTTCTTATATATCACTGCCTTCTAATTTTGTTATAAAAATTGCAAGTTAAGGGATCAGCAGTTGGCATAATGGCTATGTCACTGGACTCCCATGTAGTCGACCGCATTTTTAGTCCTGGACCCGGTGACTTAAACTCACTCCAGGCACGTGTGCACATGTGCCCAAGACCCTGAGAGGAGAATGGAGGAGAAGGGATTGTGGCGTGGCCATCCCCTGGAGGGTGATTTCTTGTTTTCTGTCTCTCTCTTTCTGGTGAGCGCCCACACCATATAGCAAAAACCTCTCCCCCCCCAAAAAAATGCAAGTTAAATATCTCTTTATATTGAGTTAAGTCAAGTGCTCTTACCACCCCCTCAAAAAAAAAAAAAAAGGAAAACAAACTTTTCCAATAACAAAGTACACAAAATAGCTAAATTGGCAATTTTTTCAATCAGATTTCATAAACCAGTAAACATTTGAACCATCCAGTGATAGGAGATGAAATCTACATTGTACTTTGATATTAGAGCTCTCTCTTGCTTTCCTTTTTTCTGTGAATCGTTGCTTAAGCCTAAGTCAAATCAGGCAGCAAAAAGTTCAAGGATAGTATTGATTTTGCTATTCTTTTTCTCAATAGTATAATGATCTTTGATGAGAGGAGAGTGGAGATTGCCTAGTATTTATTATTCAGGAACAAGAAGAATGAGTTTAGCAAAAGAAAATCAAAAAGGGGACCTAAGATTCTCTAGTATCTGGAACCAGTCCAAGGCACATTTATGTGTACATCACTCAAAAACATTGCTATGTGTGTGAGTTAATTAATTTAGTTTTTAAAATACCACTCATTATTCAATTTCATAATTATCATTACATTTTGGTGAAGTGAAACAAAAAAAAGAAAAGTTAAGAAGGTATTTTTGTTCTGGGTGTCATGTTTCTTTTTTTTATCAGTGCCTTAATAACCTGATCATTGACTAGCATAGAAAATTAAGTATACTGTATTCCTATATAATTTTGACCCATTTCTCAAGAGATTGGTGAGACCCAATATTATAAAGGTCAGAGTAACTTGATCCATCATATTCAGTCTTTTGTTTATGAATAGCACACTGATCGCCACATATGAATTCTCAAAGTTTCCTTCGCTTTACTTTTTTACCTCTCTACCAAATGTTATCTAAAGAGTACTTGACTCTTTGATTTCAAAGTCAAATAATCTTTTAATAGAAAAAATATATTAATATAATATATAATATAATACATATATTATATTATATTATATATATTGGGACCAGCAGATGGTGTAGTGATTAAATCGCTGGACTCCCATATGGCCGACTATGGTTCAAATACTGGACCCAGTAGCTTGCAAATCACAATGGGCACATGTGAGGAGAATGGAGAAGAAGGGATTGTGGCATGGCCATCCCCCCCTAGTGAATGATTGCTCACTTTCCCTCTCACTGTCTCTGTCTCTCTCTCTCCAATATGTGTCCTAAGGCAAAAATCTCTTTAAAAAAATAGAAAATATATATATACACTGAAAGTCAGAGTCTTTGAAGTTGGCTGCTTCCCCTCTCCCATTTAACACAGGAAGACATGCTATCATTATTTAAATATTCTCTCTTTTTATTTGAGAGAGAGAGATTTTTTGCTATAGGGCACATGTGCTCATTGGAGAGAAAGAGAGAGAGAGAAAGAGAAAACAAGAAAACAACCCCCGGGGCAGATGACTACACCACAATCTCTTCTCCTTCAGTCTCCTCTTGGGATTTTGGGCATGCGTGCACATGCACCCAGCATGTTTTAAGCCATCAGGTCCAGTACTCGAACTGCAGTTGACTATGTGGGAGTCCAGCGATGTAACCATTATACCATCTGCTGGTCCCTGTATTATTTCTATAATAACCTGTTTTGCTTTCCATTTGTATGATTATTTTAATAAAATTTTGCACACATGCAATGCATATGTATATGTTTATGATAGATAAAGAGGAGGAAAGGGGAGGAGAAAAAGTGAAAATAAAGTGCACATTTTTGTTTTAGATGTTATTTACTTCTATAACTCTGTTGACCATCTCAGGCTTTTTTGACAGAAAAATTCAGAGTTTCTTTCATTTTTCTATTTCCTCAGGAACAACCTGGCTCAGTGAAATAGTGGATCTGATCTATAACAATGGAGATACCGAAAAATGTAAACGAGATGCAATATACAACCGAGTGCCTTTCATGGAATTTATAATCCCTGGAATCTCAAGTGGTATTTTTTCTAAATTTTCCTTTTTACTATAAAAGTAAATCCCTCCTTTTGTGATGTTCTTGGAGTCATGATGGAAAACAATACAGAGCTTGGATAACCGAGTTATAAGCATCTATTATAAAAAAGTTAAAATTTGGCTATGTCAATAACCATATCACACTCCTTTCCACTTAAAATATCTGCTTAAAAGGGGCCAGCAGTGGGAACCAGCAGTTAGTGTAATGGCTCTGTCGCTGGATTCCCACGTAGTCGACCGCGGTTCGCGTCCCGGACCCGGTGGCTTAAAACTCACGCCGGGCGCGTGTGCGTACGTGCCCAAGATCCCAAGAGGAGAATGGAGGAGAAGGGATTGCGGCATGACCATCCCCCCCGGGGGGTGATTTCTTGCTTTCTATCTCTATGTCTCTCTCTGCCTGGTGAGCGCACGCGCTGTATAGCAGAAAAAAACCTCTCAAAAAAAAAAAAAAAAAAAAAGGCC